AGTTTCCACTCCATATAATGCATTCAAAGCGTTGTTATTGGAAAAAAAAAAAGCTATATTTTCGTGTTTGTATATGCATAAAGACTTTCTTCCCCTTAGGTGATATTAAATTATACAACTTTGCTTTTGTTGTTTTTGTAGTGAAATATTCTAACGATTAAAATCTGTACACATCATGATCTGCTGCTAATATTTCATATTTAGTAGATTACTGGAATTTCATCAATATGAAACTGATTCAAAATTTGTCCTTTTGCGGCAAGCAGCAAAGAGCAATCACAAAACTCTGGAAAAGCTTCACATTGAGGTACCTATCTGAGCACTGAGCAGAAAAGGGGAATCATAGTTCAAGTGCGTGGTGACGTTTCAATTGGTTGGTCCCCCAGCTGAACCACAAACTTTTTGCAGTCTACGAAAGGGTGAATAATAGACCAAAATTTTGGTATAGCGTAGATAATGTGGCAGAAAAGAATTCTATGAAAACAAATAACTGAACTCTATGATGCTCGGACTTAGGTACGGATATGTATCTAAGTGTCGAATATTTTATTTTATTTTTTAATGTAAAATAAGGGGACATCGCTCAAAAGAGTCCAAATTTCAGACACGAGTACGTAAATATATCTTTCAAGCTTCAATTTTTTACTAACCCAAGATGTCATTTTAAATACACCAAAAGCAATTGTTCACAAAGAAGGAAATGATTACTGAATAAGGGATTAAAATGAATAAAATAAAATTTTGGGGTTTAGTTTTCAATTATGGCAAGCTAATTACTAAATGTTATATAAAATAGAAAATGAGAGACTTAATTATAATTTGGACATAGTGGAGCACTAGGTAGTACTATATAGAACTCATTTTTATGTTATACAAACAAAACCTTAAATCACCGATACAGAGAGGGAAAGAAGAAAAAAAAGAAAAAAGAAGAAAGGAAAACTTAGCGTTGTTGCTCTTCTCCATCCTTTTGCAGGCGACACTAAACTTAGAGAGAGCAAAAATGGGAAAGAAAAGAAAAAAATGAAGAAGAAGTAAAAAGGGCGAAGTGTCCGATTGAATCTTGAAGAATCCGATAGATATCTCATACACATACGCATGTTGTATTGTGTCCGACACAGGTACTCCTACTATTTCGAAGAGTTCGAGCATCAAAGACCGANATATCTCATACACATACGCATGTTGTATTGTGTCCGACACAGGTACTCCTACTATTTCGAAGAGTTCGAGCATCAAAGACCGAACTTATCGAGTTCTAACCACCACCAACCCATCGAATCAAGGCTTACCCTATTTTATCTTAGCTGCATGAAAATCTAAAATTGAATCTTAATATTTTTTTAGACTCCTAATTGCTATGACTTGTGAAATTAAATCAAACCACTCAAATAAGAAATCTTAATTTCACCACGAAAACGAGACATATTTTGGAACGGATTCAAGAAGGTAAAACATCAATTGGATGGTCCTATTAGAGTATGTCTTATTTCATTTTACTGTAGAAGGTTGAAATACAGCTCAAAGAGAGATTAAAGTTATTCACCTACCAAAGACAAATTGAAATCCCTGCAAGATCATAGCTGTAAAGTACAGATTCTGTGTGTGCCTGTAAGCTCATATAGATTAATGCAAAATGTAGTTGTTTTATGTTATTTGAGACTGAAAAGTACAGATTCTGTGTGTGCCTGTAAGCTCGTATAGATTAATGCAAAATGTAAATTTTTCCTATATTTTTCCGAATAACATAAAACGTAATGAAAAAATAGATTTTCCTCCAAGTGTTCTTAGGTTTCTATGTAACTATTATTGTTTATACTTGGCCATTTGCCAAGACAAAACATAAGACAGGTTCATGTTCTCAAATATACATTGAATATATATGTATAATGTATCTAATAAATACTTACTAACATTAGTTTGAATTGTAACTTTCTACTGGGGATAGAAATAAACATCCATTCAAACCTATAGCAATGTAAACAATGAATGTTGTTATAAAGGTCATTTCATAGAACCATCATTAATAGTATGTCATACTGAATTTTCTAATTACTCCTTTCCTCATTTTTTTTTTTTTTGGTTCAATTTTGAGATTTAAATTGTGCTCAACTGCTCAAATGTCTTTTCAACACATGAAATCTTAACGATTTTGTGTCGTTATATTGTACATGAATGCCTTTGGAAAGCAATAATGTCCCTGGCATAGCAGTGGATAAATTAACTAGTTGAAGATTTTAGCATGCCTCGAGGCTCAAGCTAATTCTAATTAATAAGCTATTCTTCAGAAACAAAGCAATTTTAACAGGCCTCAAGCCCATTTGTTTTAAACTCAAACAGGCCATTAAGTAATCCGCCCTTGATTGAACTTGTGCAATGCGGATTAGTTTTAAAGATTTAGTACCTATGCGTTCGGAGTCTTGAACTAGAATAGGTAATTAATCTCTAGAAAAAGTCCAAATACTTGCACACGAAACTATTTTTGATGCATTCATTATTTAATAAATTCGCATTGGATGGACGAAAACTGTACCTGATTTCTTGTGTTTGACACGAAACCCAAATCTACCGATCATAGGAATTTCAAACAAACAACCCTCTCAAGCCAAACCAAACCAAACCAAAATCACCATACAATTGAGTTTTACATTTAATGCATCAATGGATACATATGTATGTGAAACGAGATAACTTCCTGTAATCCATTATTTGAGTAAGAGTTTAAGTAAAGACGCTCACTATAGTGTGTCAGGGGGCCCAATAATTGTCACGCTCCATTCAAACAGGTTCTCTTCATCCAGCAAACCCGCTGAAAATCCATCTACTGGGTGTTTACACAGATCTGCAAAGAAAAAATAAATAAACAGTAATACCCACAAATTAACTAAAACCCAAAAGGGACAACACCCAGTTTCAAAATATAATTCAAGAGAAAAATAAAATTATGGATCTTAATTGATCAATACCTTTAAGCTGCTTTTGAAGGAGGAGGCTAGCTTGAGACGGTGAAGCCATCAAAGAAAGAAAGGGAGAATTCGGAATAGAAGGTTCTAGCGACCAACGATATGGAAGGAAGTGCGAGATTCAGGGATTATATATTATGAGCAGTAATAATTTGTGTAGGCGTGATTGAGATTTATTATACAGAAGGAATGTAAAAGAGGGAGACGAGATTCAACTTTTTCCTTATCGCACTTGATTATACTTTATTCGCTGATATATTACCAGATTGCAGACGGAACCTATCACGAGGGCAACTGGTGCGGGCATGTATTATTTTGCAGTCAAACTTGGAGTTAATTGTTCCAATTGTCATTGAATTTATGTTCATATTTTCGATTTTTCANATTCAAAAAAAATAAATATTATCACGTTATTGTAAGATGCATGGAAAGACGCCAATCTTCTTCCGTGTAACTCGCAGTCTGACCATACCAAAGGCCGCGAGCGGTTATGCGTTTGAACAAGAAACTGAAAAACATGTTGATTGACGGTTTAGAATACTTGCACGATGGATCAAAGAGACTAACTTTTTCCCCCAGTAGATAATCAGCAGTTAACTGCATTTCTCGTCCATGGGGAACGTAGTTGGCTCATTTTTCTCAGGATTTTCTCAAGTAATTGGCAAACTTTTGGGCCACCCTCTTGATTTCTTGGCCGGAAAATCTTGCGAGTAAGTAAATACTCTTCTTACTAATTATACAGGTTTTGAAGAATTCATTTCGTATCACATAGACACTGCAAATACTTGTGCAAGATTTTTGCTTTGTAGAAACCATTATTTTTTTCTTTGCATCTACTTACATTGACACGTTCGGTTACATGGATCGAAGAGTGATTGTATTACTATTAATGGAAAGAAGTTAAACTTTTATGTCTTGTACTTATATTGGATTGTCGTCCAGCACAGTATGTCATTCAACATGGGATTTCACCTGCTATATCGAAAACTTCTGCATCGCGCAGTTGCTGAAGTTAGCCATGGTGGCAACATTGTTCTACTTTGGTGAGTCAAGAGTCTTATGCTTACATTGTTCAGTAGAATGTAATTATTTAGCATTAAGTGTACGCCATTGATTCCATGCTCCTTGTGTTGAGTCAAATTAAGCCGCACGACTCTATTCATTAGCAATGCCCTTCCACCATTTCATTTACTATCCCTCATAAGGGTATACTAGAGTCCTTTGGTAGTTTTTTGGGTCTCAACTGTCGTTCTTGATTAATGAATATAGACATTTCAATAGCTTTAAATGTAAGATATTTTGGCCCCCATGCATAACCCTACTAAACATGAGAATTTTTATTTTTTTATTTTTTACCTAATTTGCTTCCACTTGTGCTAATATTGCAGTTCTCTTATTCTTCTATCTGTCATACAAGTTGGGAATTTGCCAATGCATATGCCACACACTTTGCAGAACTACATGGGCATGTTTCGCAACATGTTTCTCCACGCTCGACTTTTGTTGCACGTACTTATGTTTCAAGCTTAAATCGGTCAAGAGAACACGTAGAAGGCAAAGAAGAGACATTGAAAAGGAGTTATCGACTAGCACTAGTGAAGAAGATTATGAAGAAAGTTTTTCAAGACAACAACCTAAGAACCTTAAGGATAGAAGATCTTTATCTCATAGAAGAAGGAACTATAAACAAGAGCATTTGAGAAGGGCTTTGAGGCCTAATAGTCATCGAGCAAATTTGGGGATTTCTAGGAATTCTATGCATCGGCAGACAAGAAATACTTATGGTAGCGATCACGTTAGCCCGGTTCATCATATTCATGTTATAACTAGAAGTTCTAAGTTCGCACGTCAAGGATCGAGACACAAGGGTAAAGTTCATCACAGAAGAATGTAGAATTTAAAGAATAATGGATATTAAACAAATTTGATATGGAAATCTTGATTGATTCTTGCTGAAGTCTTTATTCTTATGTTAACTTATGAGACATCTATGTGAAACATTTTTATCACCGTGTTTGATTCTTATAGGTGTCAAAGTACAATTTGATTAATTTATGAGTAGAATGAAGAATACAAAAAAGGTTAAATTTAAATTATGGATGAAAGAATTGTTCATTGTTGACTTGAGAATAATAACACAACTACGATATGTATCTATCTCTTTCGTTTTTTGAATAAATGAGATAGCGGTTGAAGGTAAAAATGGAAATCACATTAAAGTATGAAAATGAAAGTTCATTACTAATTAATCATTTCATGAAGATAAACTCTTATCATTATGGAAATTCAATCAAGCTTAAGTCACACCTACCCACCTAATCACTTTCAATTATAAGTAATATTCTATATTCATTAGGTTGACTTGTGGCTGCTCACGTTATTACCAAAGAAAACATATGATTGGTCTACTCTCAAATCCTTCTTTGGGATGCATCATCAAGATCAAAATGTTACATAGAAAAATGAATTTTTTATTTCATTTCACATTATTGGCATGTGGATTTATTGAAAATATGAAAAGTAATGAGCAATTGGATAGGCATTGAACGTTGGACATAGTTCCACTTAATAGTGATCTACACAAGTCAACCATTAAAAATTATTACATGTTAAAATTCAAAACCGGGTTCAATTTATGGTTCAACTTGGGTCCATATCCCCACAGAAATGGTTAAGAAGGCGGCCAAATCGAGTGGAGCCACGACATTGTCAATCCATTGACCACTTTTTTTCAAGCCACTCAAGTCTAACATGGAAGTGAATAATATATATAAAAAAAAAATTCAATTTATAGCACAAATTTTAATCCGAACTTAACATTTCGTGCTATGTCCTCAAGACAAGTTTGTTTCTTTTACACACACACACACACTTAATGAAGTGCTCGATTGAAATCTTTAGGATGTCATTAATCATCTAACTGTTTGGGCTCTATTAAAATTTTAATACATTTTTATCTTCCTCTTTTCTTAAATATATGTTATTTCATAAAATAATATTATATGTAAATTCAAAACTTTTTAACTATACATTATCAAGCAAATCATTGTTTCCATTTTCTATTACTCACTATAAATTTGGACTTAAATACATATCTATGCAATAAAATATTTTGCATGTAAACTAAAAAAATTTCCTAACTTTTAATAGCACATTCTCCAAAAAATAAACTATAAAAAAATAAATTAAATTTTAAATTTAACTACTGCGTAATTGAGTAATTATTTCTAGTGATGTGGACAATGTTTGTAAAGCTATGCAAAGGAAGTGACTATTGATTGCAATGAAACACATAAAATATTTATCTTAAAAATTAAATTAAATCCGAATTTTTTAATAACGAATTTTAGCCCATGTTTGATAGTCATTATTAAAAAAAAAAGTTCTAAAAATACTAATTTTTTGAAGAATGTGTGATTAAAAATTGAGAATATTTTGAATTTACGTGTAAAATATTTTATTGTATAGATATGTGGTTAAATTCAAATTTAAAGTGAGCAATAGAAGACATTTTTTAAAGTTTAGCAGCCAAAAAATGACCTTCTCAAAATTCAACGGTGTGACGGAGCTCCACGTGTACGTTCTATCAGCTACGTCACCAATTCCATTTGAGGTTTGAGATGGAAGTTATGCTAATGAATAACGTAAGACATTTTCTAAAGTTAGGTGGCCAAAATTCGATATTTTAAACTTTAGAGCAATCGAAGACATGAATCTAAATTCATTGACCAAAATTCAACATTTTAAATTTTAGTGAGCAATCAGATATATAGCCTAAATTCAATGACCATTGAAACAATTAACTCTCAAACTTGATATTATTAAAAAACTAAATAGAAATGAATCATAATGAGCCTTGTTTTATGGTGATTATTAAGAAAAATATATTTTGAATAGTAATTGTTTAGAAAATGGAATTAATCGTTCCAATGGTTACTCAACTCATGTCTATGTCTTCAATTGTTCACTGAAGTTTAAGATATTGAATTTTAGCTTCTAAACTTTGAAAAACTATAGACATTATTTACCGATATAACATCCGTTTAAAATCTCTAATGTAATTGATGATATTGTTGATGGAATGCACATTTCACGCCATTAAACATTGAGATGATCAACTTTTGGTCAATAAACTTTGGAAAACGTTTTAATTGCTCAATGATCCTTGAAAAACGTCTTTTATTGCTCACTAAACTTTGATATGATCAAATTTTGGCCACTAAACTTTTTAAAATATCTTCTATTACTTATAATAATTTTGAATTTAATTAAATTTCATTATTAAGATTTGAATACAATTTAATTCTAACTATTGTACGTTTCTTTGTAAAATTCAGCCCTTATTTGAGCTCACATTTTTCCATCAAAATACATTATTCAACAATGATTTGACTCCACTTCAACCACATGTTTTTCAATAAAATAATATTAAACGCAAATTCATAATTTTTCTTTATTTTTTAACCACACATTTTCTATCAATATACTATTTAAAAATACATTTTTTGACAATAATGGAAATTAAACAAGGGTTCAAATATTAAAGTTTAGATTTGATTTAATTTTATTAAAACATTTATTGTGTGTTTTGTTGTAATTATTAGTCACGTTTTTTTATACACAGTTTTCCAAGCATTATCTTAGATTTTGAGTAGATTTTGATAAAAGTAAATGAAACGTGTAGTTTAAAAGTTGTATGTCCCATGAAATATATGGTTAAAATTAATTGTTAACTTTGAGTTTGATAAAAATCTAAATTTAATTCTACCAAACATGGGTTAAAGTTGTTGTTAGAATTATATTAAATTCAAAATTTAATATAAATTTTAACAACGAATTTTGATTAAATCAAAATTTATTGTGGGCAATAGAAGATGATTTTCAATGTTTAGTGATCGAAATCCAATCATCTCAAAGTATATTGGTTTTGCATTCAACACTTAAAAGTTCAGTGAACATTAGAAGACGTTTTTCAAAGTTTAGTGAGCAATTAAAGATTTTTTAAAGTTTAGTGGTCAAAATCCAAACATCTCAAAGTTCAATTACCAAAATTCAACAATCTTAAAATTTAATGACCAATAGGTATCTTAAAATTGGAAACATTGATTCATCTCTAAAAATGGCACCAGTTCAATTACGGTTCTAGTTCAATCCAATTTGTTTCTTTCGATTGAGTTCCTCAAGTTCACTAATCGATGTAAATGGAGTATTGGAATATAAAAAATATTAAGCTATGATTAAGTATCTAAATTCTCCATATTCTCTTCATCATAATGATTTATGGTGATGCTAATAATATCCATTTTTCAAGTTTAATTAAACGCTAATTTACATTAACATGTTAACTAGAGACATAATCTATATAGTTTGAGGAGCTGAAAATGTCAAGTTGAATGGAACAACTACGAATTTGACACATTATTGCGAAGTTTGGAAGAAAATGTAAAATGGTTGGTGCATTGCAATGACCGCTATTTAATATAAAAAATAAAAATTTCAATTAAATCGATTTTTTTTATTTTTTTGGTATTAGCACCGAGAATCATATAGGAACCTTGGTTGATTCTCAATTTTTTTTTATACTTAGTATCGATTAAAACGTGAGTAGAACCTAATCAAACAAATCGATACCAATTTGATTTTTGGTAGCTTTTGCCCAACCTTAATTCAAATTTAAATAAAAAAAATAAAAAGGGGTTTTAAAATAGTTATTTTGAAGCTCAAATTTTGATCAGTCAGGAAAAACCCTGAATTCAATTTATACGAGAAGTGAAATTTTATTTTAATTAAAATTTTAAATTGACAATATCATCCTTGTTATTTTTCTAACATCGATCTAACTTATAATAAAAGAAGTTGGCACTGCAAACTATTCACCGCGCCACACGTCAATGCCTCATTGCGCTGTATTTTGATTTTTTTTTTCTTTTAGTTTAAACGACGTTTTCTTTTGGATTGAAAATGACATCATTTTGTATCTATACATCTTATTGAGCATGTCATGGCGATGTCGTGTTGATAGGGATATTTATAAAGTGTTGTTTTTATTTTGTCTCCTCTCTCGCCCTAACCCTGGCAGTCGCTCTAGAAAACCCTCGTTTCTTATGTGACCCATCCCTTTGCCTTTGATCTTGTTATTTGCTTTGTTGTTCTTCTACTTCCCCTAACCCTTCCACTATATTAGCGTTGTTTTTTGTCCTCGTGCAAGTTTTCAACATATTTTTGTGTTTAACTTTTCTCGTTCGATTTTAATTGGTTGTTTGTTTACCATTTCATGGAAAGAATTGCACCAAATGTGGAATGTTTTGCAGATGGCAATATGTGTGGGAACGAAAGTGATATTAATGCTAGTCAATGAAGAATTATGGTAAGCTAAGCATTATGCCCTCCTTTGGTAGCAATTTTTCACCCCCAAAAAATTGATTTTTGATTGTTATTTCACTATTCCAGTCTTCATATTTTACTTCTTCACTCACAGGTGAAATCCACTTTTTCTTTCTGACAGTCAAAAAATCAATTTTCATAATCACTACAGAACATATACATCTATATATAGCTATTGCAGATTGAAGGTAGAGGCGGAGAACTCATGCATCCGAATTTTGGAGTAGCTGAAGATATTGTGTAAGAGAGAAATTGATGCAGCAAAATATGTGAGTTTGAGAGGGAAAAAAGCACATAGAGGGAGGGAAAGAAATAGAGAAGAAAAATTAGTAACCGTGCTTTAAATATTCTAGAGATTGAGGGTTTGAAGTTCATAATTTCTTTCTTTGAATAGTGCATTTGACTTTTCATTTCTCATTACCATTGATGATTTGCCAAATTATGTTAATTTCACGTTTTTCTCTTTTTGCACTTGTTATTCCTTTTTCAATGACGCTGCGTTCATTGTGC